AGACCTAGTTTCATAATTGGCAGTCTAGTTGTCATTTCTCTGTTGATTATTTTCAAAGAGACCTTTTTAAAAGATTGTCACTGATTCTTAATGTGTTCTTCCTGTGTAATCAACCCATAGTTAAAAGTAAGCATTTCAAGTTGTGCTGTATTTCTTGCATATGGCAAAACACTATGATTCTTAAAATAGAACACCTATCTTCTAGCCACACAATTGCTGGAATGCCACCTGCCGAAAAGGTGTACTTACCATTAATTTTACCATCAGACAGGGACTCTAGCATCTGAAGAATGAGACCTGACAAACCTTCCTGACAGAAAGTAAAAAAAAAAAGGTAAAAAAGAATAAAAACATTGGGCAACATTCATAGCAGAGGAAAGAATAAAAAGCCATATCCAAATTGTAGCACCTTCAATAAGATTTTTATTCCATTAATGTATACTTATCACTATAGGGCAGTTGCTAAGCCCCATATTCTCTAGCCTTTTTTTTTTTTGCCTTAAAATTTGCACTTGGGAATTAAAGGTCAGTAGTCCTTGGTTTAAGCCCACTGTACAGAAGGAATCGTTTTCAAAAATGCAATTAATGCATCAGTCATGTTTCTAAAATATAAGCTTTGATTATTTGTTTCTGAACATTTTTGGCAAGATAAAGGTCAGCACATAATTATTATCCTCACTCACTGGCCACTGGCGGGAAAATGAGAACAATGCTGCCAGGCTGGTGTGGCTCAGTGGTTGAACAACAACCTTTGTTATATATATATATAATTAGATGGTAGCAATGCTCTTAAATCCCTGATTCATAGATTGTGAGGAATGAAAAGGTCTCATTCACAGCTGTTTTTCACATGAGGAAACCAAGGCCCAGGGAAGCAACATGCTAAGGACACACATGGCATTGGACTTAGAGCCCGCCCAAATGATCCAGAATAATCTCATCTCGAGATCTTTCATTTAATTCCACCTACAAAAACCCTTCTTACAAAGAAGATCACATTCATAAATTCCATTGGTCAGGATGTAAACATATCTTTTGGGGGACCCCTATCCAATCCACTATACCCCTCTTTTACCTAAAGTAGTAATCAGTCTTATATCAATTTTTGAAAAACACTTTGTGCTTTAAAATGGTTTATAGTATCTTTTTCTATTTTTAAGTCTTTTAGGAGTCAGACTTGTGTATTTGAATTTTGGATTCTGGCTCTTTCATTAACAATGTGACCTTAGGTAGATTTCTTAACTATCTCTTTAAGCCTTGGTTTCCTCCCCTCTACAATAAGGAAGGAATTTCCCTTCACAGGGTGCTTATGAACATTATAATGCATGGAAAGCACCCACCAGGGTGTCTGTCTAGTAAAAGTGGTGTTCAGTAAGTACCAGTTGATTTTAAATTAGAATAATATTCACCAACACCAATCTATTCAACGTGTATGTGTTGGAGGTCCACTGGGGACACATTTCCACCAGCCAGAAACTTTTCTGGCACCGACACGCGAGCACAGGCTCATTGTTGAGTGTTGACTCATGGGTGTGCAGCCTGCTCAGGAGTGGGAGAGAATTCTCTGGATTCTCTAAATTGCTGCCATCCCAGCCCACGTGATGTTTTG